GAAAAGGAATCGACGCGATGTACAAAGCATACAAGAATTTAAACAAAAGAACTCTCTAGCATACAAGAAGAGGAGAAAGAAGAGGAGAGGCGATTTCACAGCCCGGTCGAACACAGTGTGCGAAATTTGCCGCCGCACCCATGACAGGCGGCTAGCGCAGGGAAGCGCTCCGTCCCGAGCGACTCGAGAGGGATCCCCACCGCTTGCCAGTGGCGAAAAAGAAAGAAAACACACAACCCAAGGGAGGGATGCCAGTGGCGCGTCACCTGTATCGCCTATGAATACTTTTTCCGTCCTTGATGAAGGGTGCCTTCGCTGGGAGGCAAAGCTCCCAACACCTTCGAGAGACCGCGGCGTGCAAGGGAATGTCAGCCCTACATTCGCACGTCAGCCCTGAGGCTCCGATCAACACGCACCCACGTGAGCAGTCAGCCCTACATTCCACGTCAGCCCTACATTCGCAGGCTGAGGCGCTCCTCTCGAGCCCTTACCCTGTCTGCAGCGTCCTGCTTCGGCTGAGACTGCAAGCTCTCGCGGCTGCGCTGGCGCGCGATGCGAACGTTCTCGCCAATCTCTCTGGTCAGGATGCCACGTGTATCACTACGGAGGAGCTCTCATTCGAGCGAGAGTCCCTCGTGACAGCTGCGTCGGCGGCAAACACACTCGTCCAGATCGCGGCCCGCTCCTCGGTGCCGGCGGTGTGACCAGTGCTTCCCCGAGCACGGCTGTTGTGCCTCTAGCTGTAGGTCTCAGAAGTAGTCAAGGTAAAAATACTTTACACGCACGCTCACACTACCGTGACGCCCGCGCTCAGAGCCGTCTGGCACACGAGAGAGACGACTCGGCGGCTCCGCTCAGCAACACCTCGGCGCCAGTGCAGCTCTGACCGCTCACACTCCACTCTATTCACGCAAACACGAGCCACCGCCCAACTACGCGCCTACCGCAGCTCTTGCTTCGCTCGTCGCCTCGCGGCCTCCTCCGCCGCCTCCTCTGCGCGCACCGCCTCGTCCTCCTCTTCCTCCTCGCGCTTCTCCTCCATCTGCCGGTGCATCGCGTGCACCGCCGCCTCCCGGTCCTACGATAAGGTAAGGTAAGGTAAACCTCTCCACACACACGAGGTGGTGGGGCAAGGGGGGGCGACCCTCGCGTCTCCACGTCTAACGACAGGAGCCCCACGGCATTCAAAGTGCAAGGCCCGTTGCGCGTGGGTGAGCGGTGTGTGTGTGTGTGTGAGTGAGTGAGTGTGAGTGTGTGTGTGAGTGTGAGTGTGTGTGTGTGTGTGTGTGTGTGTGTGTGTGTGTGTGTGTGTGTGTGTGTGTGCGGGGTCTCCGTCCTTGTAGCTCCGCCGATCGGCCTCGCGGTACTTTCGGAGCGCCTGGGGCGGCGGGGCGGCGGGGCGGGACGGGGGTGGCCAACCGCCGCTGCCATGGAGACTTAGAGGGCAGGGGAGAGAGGAGGGGGGGGGGGGGGG